TCTTCAAACTCCACAAGGCCAGATTTTAGTTTTCACTCTGAGCCATGGACTTTGGCAAAACACAGCTCAACACAGGAAAGAACAATAAGGCTGAAGCACTACACCCAACCCAAAACTGGCTCCTCCACTTACCTGGCCATTTCACCTCAGAGATCTTCTACTCACTGTCCTTCCCTGAAACACAACAAAATGGCCAAATACCCATTCTCCTCCTTCTTTCCCTTTCAATATTCCTGGAGTCTTCAACCATCTGCAAAGCACGATTTTAAACCAGATTCTGGTGCCAAAACATTGAGAAGAGCAGCATCATGATCCCAACTTCAGAACACTGTGTTGTCTCTAGACATCTCACTCTCCATTTCTCTGTCTTGCTTTCTCAAGTCCCAAGCAGTTACTTACTTTGACAGGCTGCAATCACTAGAGACAGACAAAGCACATGCTCTTTGCACTTACAGCCTGGCAGACATCTGCTGGTGGTGTCACAGCTCAAGCCAGGCTAACTTCCTCACAATTCTCCTCCTAATGCCAAGAAAATGCCAATCCTGACCTTTAATTGTTGGTTTTTACTACTCATGTGATTCTTCCCCACAGGATGGGGTATCTATCCAGTGGCTATTCAGAGTTATGAGCTGCTCTTCCCAACCATGCTTCCCTCTAACCTGAGCACCAATCTGCATTTCCTAGACATGAAGCCTTAAGCAGGAAATAAAACATTTATACACATCCTTCCCAAGCAGCAATTACCCACTTGCTCACAACTAGCTAGCAAAGCAGAACTTTGTTTTAATTCACCCTCTCATCTTTCCAACGAGGTGCAAATCAAACACACAGGGAACTGCTCAGGTTCTGGCTTCACCTTTGAACTCACAGTAATAAAACCTGCCTTTCCCATCATGATCCAGCAAAGGCAAGAGCTCAGTGAGCAGGAGGCAAGGTAGGTCTCAGCAGCGACACAGCCAAGCAGCAGAGAACAGAAATAACCTGGAGAGTACCACTGCTCAGGGTGAACACCACATGAACCCCAGCAGCTCCACTGGGGCATTAACCCCCCCAAAATAGGCAGATATAAAACAACCAGAGACACAAGAACCCTGCAAATGGGCAGATATGAACAATCAGGACTCCTGTTGCATTGTCCATCGCACTCTCAAAGCATTCAAACAGAGCTGAAGAGAAAAGGCAGCCCCAGGAACACCCACTGCTGCCAGCACCAACAGCCACACAGTTCCACCTACTCTGAGTCAGGCTGGGGACAAGAACCAGTGCATCCTGCTGCCCAAAGCACATGGCCTCGTAACACCACCCTGTTCTGTAAGGAAGAACCCAGGGCTAGTGCCTGTACCAACACAGCTGTGGCACTGAGCCCAGTGCAGAGAGAAACCCCTCCTGGATGTGCAGCTCATGGGGCCACCCTGGCTGTACAGCCCTCATGCTCCTGGTAAGCTCTGCCCTCCTCATCAGACCACCCTCCAGCTGGATTTCACCTGCAACCATCAGGAACACACTGCATTAATTCAGGATTGTAAAGATAGCTCTGAGGAGGGTATTGATTCAGTGACAACCCCCACAACTCCTTGGCTGGCTCTGGACAGCAATCAGTCCCATCCATCATTGCTGCAGTGCCAGCACTCACTCTACCTGAGAAATGTGTTGAGCTGGTCAAAGTTGTCAACAGCAGGTTTCTGGTGTACACAATTCATTCTCATCACTGCATCATTACCCTACATGACATGCTCACTTCCCTCATCTCCCACCCCCATGAGGAAAACCACCAAATTGCTCAGCTGGTTCCCTGTTATAATAAGCAAGACAGAATGGTTCAGTTCAGCACAAACACATATCACAAGGTTTGATGTTTGATGGGCCTCTCCATCTGTTTCCTCATAAGCAAAAAGAGCTCAACAGCAGTGCCACACGCTGCACCTGGGAATGGGACATCCATTAAGCTTCTCTACTACAGCTTCTTTGGGAGAAAGAATTCATTATCTGCCCATTCTGAGCCTCCTATGTCACCTGTGTGACCAACCCCTGAACAACAGATGCATCGAGATTTTGAACTTCTCATCAATGGCCTTCCACTGCTTGTTCATAAACAGGTGACAATATTGACAGTAGACTGCCAAATTGTGTCCTGGAAGGATTTCCCCACACCCAGCATAGTGCATCTCCCAGCCAAAGGAGATGGTGGCACACACAGATGTAAATGGACTACCCCAGCAAGAAGCTCCTCTAGAGAGTTTCAGTCCTGTGTCACAAGATGCTACAAAAGCACATGACCGAGCCTACAGGACTCACATGGACTCTCTTACTCCACAATTTGCACCCAAAGCTCCTTCTCACAGCTGGGTCCCACATCCCTGTTATAGCTCCACACACCTGGCTCCTGAACATGTCCGTGTCTGTGCACTCCTTTGCATCATGCCTGACCCACGCTCAGGACCAAGAGCATTTATACTCCTTCTGCCTCTCCAAAACCTCATACAGGAGAGTGGGAATGGGGCAGTCAGGGAGGAGCTACAGCATCCCCCCACAATTTGCAGCAGAGGATGCCATAGCACATATGTGGTATTTCAACATAGGTAAATGCTGGAAATGCATTCCAAAAATCTGGAAATGAGTAATATCCCATCAGCTGAAAAATCTGCTAACCCTTTCATGTTGTCTTCCTTCTTTAAAGTAACTCCCACCCTAAATTTCCTGTATTTGTAACTACCGAAGTTTATTTAGTGGTATCCAACACCATTATCAAATTCTTTACAAAAGTCCATGTAAATGGGAGTTACTGCACTTTAAAAATCTGTTTACTCACTACTCTCAAAGTAACCCACCAAATTAATTATTCTGTGACAAAATGTATTTGAACATTTTTATTTTGCTCGATTATCTTTAAATTCTGTTATTCAGAATTTGAAGCATACGGCTTCATAGTAGTTTTTTAGACCATGACTTGGTGGGATGGAACCTCTTCAATTAATAGCCCATTGGAAGAAGCTGCCACAGCCTTCATCCCCTGCTTCAGCACTTTGCAGGGATAAGTGTCCTGTCTATGGAAACACACCATGCAGCAGAGACCAGTTTATCAGGGTTGTACCAGCCCATGCCATACAGCCCTAATACACATTTCTCTGTGATGTGCCATTTTCCACAGCAGACACTGCCAGGAGGGACAAGTTCACATCTTTCCTAGCAGAACTCTCGTGCTGACAATGCACTTCTGTTCAAGACCACATCTCTCCTGGTTTTAGCATGGCCATTCCCTTGCAGGTCTTTGCATTTCCAGTGCACAAGTTCTGTAACCAGCACGCCACGTACTCCCTTCAGCTGAACATGGAGCTGCTTCCTTCCCCACTGCACAGCTTACAAATAGCTCCTTTCCTTCCTGACCTTTGACAAGTACCTTTGGTTTCTCATCTACTCCATTTACTCTGATCTTAATACCTGGGGCTAGATTTTTGCCAGGTGTCTTGGGGTGACTGTATGATGCCTATATCCCCAAATCGTCTGTTCTGTTGGTGTTGAATATTAAATTCTGCAACTTTAAAACTGGTTCCAGGAGTGAAAGGGCAGGGGGGGGAAGAAGAAGTGCAGAGTTTGTTATCAGAGACTGCACGGGCTCCCCCACATTCCTGCAGACAGACTGTGTTGTCTGCGGTGGACAGGGAGAGAGAGCTCTCCTTTACTCTTGGTTAGTTTTTTGGCTAGCTGAGACAGAGAAGCCCCCTGGATTGTTTTTTTCCCCTTTTTCTGTTTTCCTGGAACTGTTTGAACCTGCTTTGGACTGAAAACCCAAAAAAGCACCGGGAACTCACACCTGTGGCCCACCGGGCCTGGCCTGGGCATTCCCCAGCACAGGAGGGACTGAGAGCAGACTGAGTGAGCCGGGCAGCCCACAGAAAAAACTCTTCAAAATTTGCCATCTCCTCGGAACAGCGAGAGGTTTTGCTGTTTGATATTGTTCATTGTTGCGCTAGGAGGTGTGTTGCCTGTTGAATAAACAGTTTTCTTTTATCCACTTCTCTCCAATTTTTTTTCCCTTTTTCCAGAGGGACCTCATTCAGAAGTTTCCTCCCAAATTTGCCCTAAACCAGAACACAAGGGCAGGAGTTTTGGCTTTTGCCAGGTACATGGACCGATGATTGTACCAGCAGTTTTGACTAAGAAGTGACTCCAAGCACAGTCCTTCACATCCACAATCCACTCTCTAGTCTAGCTGGCTTCCCAGAATAATTAATTCCCACGGTTTTCTTGAGCCTCCAGCTGACCCCAAGCACAATCCAGTGCAGTTTTTGCTAAGTGTCACATTATGCAGCCTGATCCCACCCTTTAACTGACCCTTTAGCATGGTTGGAATGGGGACTACAGGGAAACCAGATCCAACAACTGAACCAGGTTTAAAGGAACCACTGGCAAGATTTATCTTTATTTTAATGTAAAAAGAAATGCCTACCAACAGATTTATCAGCACAAGTATGATGATGGTGGAGGGTTGTTACAAGATACTGGACACTGGAGCAACATCAGCACCTAAACATATCCAGAGCTCACCTTTGGAGCCTTATTTACATCTTCAAAGACATTTGATGATGATTAGTATTATCATGATGGGACTTTTTTTCTAGAACCTCAATATCTAAAATCTTCTAATACAAAAACATGTATGAAGCTGTACCATGTAACATTATTTTAATAACCTGTTAAGCTTTCACACAGGATGAAAATGCAGCCGTTGCAAGGAATTCCTCCTCCATCTCCAAACAGGAACAGCAGATAGACAGTGCTCAGCTAACACCAGTCAGCAGTACTGCCCCACAGGCCCCACTGCCTCCCAGCTGTAGCACATAATCTACAAAACACCAAAGCATTCACTAAGCAAAGGGCTGACACAGTTCCTATCAACCAATTCCCTACCTCGTGCTGACCCCAACACTTCCACAAGGATCCTTCCTGTCACGTTTCACAAATTACACCAGGCTGCCTTAATTTCACCAATTCAACAAGTCTGTCTTTTTCTTGTTTTATTCTTTCTTTGATACAACCAGCTCTCATTATTCCCTCACCCAAACACAGAATGGGTGATGACAAAGAAGCTGGACATCCCATTCCACAGAGTGGACATTAGAGATGTTCTTCTGTAATGTCAGGATTTGTCATATAAACGTGGAAAGTCAGAGCAAATATTCCATTGTAAACATTCGTTCTTCAAGGCCCCCAGCAGTCCAACAGGACATGGGGCTCACCCATGCCCAGCTGAGCACAGGGCACCGAGATCAGGAGGGAAGCACAAAGCTTCTCAACCAGTTTCCATCTTACAGCTCTTGTTCTGCCTTTGAGTATCACTGTGTTTAAGTAAGGTAAGATGCAAATCAGGGCAGACAGAATGTTCTCCAGAAACTATTACAGTGTTGGAGGCACCACTGCCCTGGAATACAACACCTGGTCCAAGTCTTTATGAGCCACCTGAGTGACTGAACAAGGCACAGATATCACAGTGAGTCAAAGCTGAAACCTGAACTTTGTGTTGTTCAGAAAAGCATCTCTGAACAGACTGGAACAAAGCTTTGCTATGTTTTATCTAAAAAGCATGAGCAGCCCTGATGTCCCTCCAGGAATCCAGTGCTGGGGCAGAGGGGCCTGGCCACGCCCTGTGTCGTGGCACACACAGTCAGTCACTGCCATCCCTCTAGAGCCACAGTCCTTCTTGCAGCTGAATTGGCTTCCTTCCTCCATTCCTGCAGTAAGAAAAGATTAAAACATTAAGGCCCATGGAATATAGTAAAAACAGAAAGGGGGAAAAATACAGAGTAAAGCTGGCTTAAAAGAAAACCACTGACTTCTGAAGTCACTGACTCCCTTGGAGTGACAGCACTGTATCTCACAGGGAGAAGGGAATGGGAGGTACTCCCTGAGCAGCAGTGATATAGTACAGTATAGGACCACTGCTGAAAAATATTAAGACACAATATACAGATATGGCAGTTTTCTAGTTAGAAAAATGTGGATGTTAAAATTCTTTCCAAGATGGACATTAATTTTCTTAAACCTCCACAGCTTGCTCCTCCCATCACTGTACAGTTGTGACCAGCACCTTAGAACACTTCACATAATCTTGTTTTTTAAGGACATACATCTCTATGTATTACCTCTGCACTGTGCAGGACGTGGGACAGTGTAGATGTGTCATTCCACATGTGCTATATATAGCACCTATACAGCAGAGACAGTAACACAAACCTGACAGTTATGTGTATATACTCTAAACAAGGTATAAATACAATCTACATGTTTTATTACACACAGGTACTACGTGTGTGTACACACACACTAACTTTATGCACTCTGTGTCTCTTGAACAATGCAAAGCAGAAGGGACAAGCTGGGACAGAAAGGTAAAGCAGGATACGTGGTCACAAAAGTGTTTCATCACAAATTCTGCAAGTCTGGTTAGACCAAGACCAAACCCCTCTGTGCCAGGACTGAGAAGCACGAGCTACTTACCACAGCTGCTCATGGGCTGCAAGACAGCCTTGGAGTCCTGCCAGTGCCTCCTCCTCCTGTGACACCAGAGCTGGAGCCCATGGCAGGAAGCAGCTCAGCACTGCTTACACTGCCCCAACTCTGCTCCCAAGCCAAACCACTCCTGCTCTGCTCTCCTCTATGAGCCTTCTCTTGGGGCAGAATCTGTTCCAACACATTCAAACAGTAGGTTTAACAGGTTTGTTAAAGTAGGTCTAACAGCTCCTCTGATCCCTACTCTGAGAACACAGGAAGCCTCAAACTTTATTTTTATTAAACTCAGTTCTTTGTTCTTCTAGTTTGAGCACATGCTCTTTTATAAGCATGGAGCTCCAGACCTGCAGGGAGAAGTCTCTCCATTCTGGAAAGGTCAACCTTTAGAACTTTTTAAACCACACTTAAAATTCAAATAAAGAAAATCTGTATTTTAACTGTGCCAAATTTGGTTTAAATTAATCTTGCTGCAATGAAATATTATTTGCTAATGAGATGTTAGTACAAGTTATGTTTTGACAAACTAGATTCAGAGTCCCATGTTGCTCATCACTATTTCTATACATAAACACTTTAAAAAAAAGACAAAAAAGAAAGTGTGTCATAGTGCAAAGAGCAAAACATCGTGATTTATTCACCTTCATTCAGCTGCACAGAGAGCACACACGTGCAAAACCACTCCCAAACGTTCCACTTCCCCTTCCTGCTGTCAGTACAGGATGGAAGCAGAGGACAGTTTAGGGAAAAGAAAGGCAGTTTCAAAAATCAGGACTCTAAAGAAGAGGAGGTATTTGGGGAATAGGCAGGGCCCCTCTGACACTGAGCTACTGCTGAGCTGGGGAAGCACGAGGGGAATGAAGGGAGGGGGGGATGCAGCCAGGCTTTCCTTAAATAGCTGCTCACTGCTACTGCTGGGACAGAATTTGGAGCAAGTGTAGCATTAGCATGACCCAGGACGTTTCTTACAGTCATATTCTTCCCTTTTTAAGGATAGGAAATACAGAGAAAACGATTCAGACATCTTTCTTTGACATATCAGTTTAAAACCTTTTTTCTCTTTTTCTCCCTCTTTCACTGTTCTGGAAATTAAGAGAGTGAAATTTGGAAGCAGGATACCACAACAGCAGAGCAAGGAGGGGGAATAGTCAGACAGAGAGCCTGTCAGGAATCCTGCGAAACCCAGGGCCCCTGTCTGGGCGTTAATGGGTCTACACTAAGTTTTTTGGTTTGCTTTTAAAAAAAGAGCCATTTCTGAGGGGCTAGAACTTCACGTGGCCATGTCTGCTATTAAGCTTTTTGGAATTTAATCTATTTTTTTCCCTCATGATTTTTCACAGAAGAAAAACATGGAAAACATGGAAAATACAATAGTGGTCAAAATGAACATGAGCAAAAGTGACCCACATAAGATGAACTCTGGTGGGAGCACGAATGGAGAAGGTGTTCCAGTTCCATGCAAAGGAAAACCCAAGAAAAGTCTAAATCCTGATGAAGCATGCCTGAATACACCAGATGCTGCACATTCAACAATCCACTGGTATAATGGAAGGAATAGAAATTCTCACTTCTGCTCTTTACTAGTTTAGCTCAACAAATAATTCCATATGGTGAACAGTGCTGAACTGAGAAACTCCCATCACAGAAAAAATAACTGCAAATCTAAAAACTCCTGAGTTGGAAGAGATCCTGAGCTGAGGCAGCACTGCCACACGTTCCATGACATCATACATGAAACACTATTTATACCTCTTACTTTCCATCACTTTTCACAGTAAGCCTCTAAGAGAAAAATGAGAGGGAACATCTCAAAGGTATAACAATTAGCCCAGCTCTCAGAGGGATTACTTCTGTGACTAAAGGACATGAGGCACCTGCTGAAATGCAGCAGGACAGACTTCAGCTTACCAAAACTAGAAGTTTGTGTTGGTGAAGAAAGGACTAAGGCTGGAACACGGTCTGTGCAGAACCAGCAGGATTATATGTGTTACACATGTGATTACACGTGTTCCTTCAACCACAAGGCCGTGGTTTCAGAAGCATTTCTGAAAAACCCCACAGAACCTCCCCCAGGGTGTTACCTGGGGGTGTCTTTCCTGCCCCAGCCTCACCAGGCACCAGGGAGCCTGACCTGCACTGATGGTCCCTTCTCATGGAATCACAGCTGTTAGGTTGGAAAAGCCCTCTAAGGTGATCAAGCCCAACCATCATGGCAGCACCACCATGTTCACCATTAGCCCAGGACCCCCCGTGCCACAGCTGTGTTTTCTGAACACTTCCAGGGATGGTGACTCCACCACTGCTCTCTGCCAGGGCTTGACAATCCTGGCACAATTTGCAGAAGCTCTTCTTCCAATCTAAACCTCCAATGGACCAACTTGAGGCTGTTTCTCCAGGAGCTCCCTAATGAAGTTTCTCTACAGATTTCTTAGTAACAGAAAGCCCGTGTAGCTGGGCTTTGGGTTTGGTTTTATCAGGAAGAAAAATGTAAGATAAAGACAACAACTTTTTTTCCTGAAAGATAAAAAGGAAACTAAGCCTCTTCTTTTAATTCCATCTTTCTAACAAGGCCGCAAGTTACAAAATCTTTAGTGGAGGAACCTTGATTGGCCTATTCCTGAACACAGTTCAGATTCTTCTGAAAACATGTCAAATCCAAACTGCACAATAACAATCCAATTCCTGCAGGGAAAAAGAGACAAAATATGAACAATTAAGTAAAAGCCTAATTCTATTTTGAAGTACAACACCCTTCACCAGGGCTCAAGTAAAAGCATCCCAAGTATGTTCCAAACAAGTGCTCAACAAAACCAGCCATGAACATGTGGCAAAAGTACAAAACTCCTTTGCACTATTAACATAGATAATATCATTTAAGTCTTAACACCAGTGTAAAATATCTATGAGTTGTTTCATTTAATTTTGAAAATCCATATAGAAAACAATGTTCATAACTCCATCCACAGGATTCTACAAAGCTGCTGCTTCATCAACAAATCTTTGAACTGTTTCAATATGAAAATTCCATTTTTTTCAAACTGCTCAAAAATCATTGCAGAGAATTTCCAAGCACTTGAATTGAAGCACAACCAAAGTATGAACTTGGTACATTTTTGCAGTTATTTCTAAAATAAGTTAATTTACATAAATCATCTCAAAATAACACAATGGGATTCAACTTCATTTTAGACATTTGGAAAGCAGTGTCATACTTTATTTAAAGTAAACCCATGTAAAAACAAAGTTTAAATGAAAATGGTACCTGAAAAATAAATTATTTGATATAAAACAAATCAATAACTTAAAAACACACTAAATATACAAAATGTGTAACCATATACTGTACAGTATGGAAAGCAATTGATAAAACCTTCTGTCCCACAAACAGATTAGTTTATAAACAAAAGATTACATAAGTTAAAGGAAAATAAATCAATAAAAAGACTAGAAGTACAGTATTATTCAAATTACTCATCAAATAAAGGTTTATCCCAACTTATGTTTCAAATGTCTCAAGTCATTTTCTTCTCAATGACCAAGTGAAAAAGTTCACCCATACCACTAAAAACTTGCTCAAAAATGTTTAGAAATAAGGAACAACAGTAGAAGAATATTGAGATTCTAAAATGTGAACATAGAAGCAATTTTCCAAGGTTTCAGGTGGCAGTTCTATCATTACTGTTTTCCCATCATTAGCAACAAAAGAGAATTTCAGTGCTGAAAACTCCACTCAACAAAAAAGTATTTCTAAACCTTTGTTGCTGTTTGATCGAGTGTAATCTAGAAGGAATCACCAGAGTTGAATGTCAAACCCACTCATGGGGTGGTGGGTATGCTTTAGAGATCATAAAGACTTTCACTGTTTTTAAATCATGCAGGATAAGAAAGCAACATTCTGAGTTTGGTTTTGTTTGACTACGTGAGACTACCACAAACAGCAAGCACTGAAATGATGCTGTACCTGATCAACCTACGAGTGGATGCTTAGAAATTAATTAGGTGATTTTCAATCCACTGGTTGTCATAGAGGTACTGCTCTTCCAAGTGAGAGGGAGGGAACTGAGACCCTTTTTATGAACTCCACATTTTTTATTTTTTATGTTAATAAGGAGAAACCCAGTAATAATAAATATAATAATCAGAGAAAATAACCACTGGCCTCTTGAGCTCTGGATTTATCCATTCTACTGTGCTGAGTAGCCAACCTTGAGTAGTGCAGAACTGCGTTAGAGGAACTTGCCAAAGGCACAAAAAGACTCTCCTGCTTCCAAATAGAGATTAAAATACCTCAGGCAATAAATTTAGCTCTTGGAAAGTAAAAACAAAACAAAACAAAAGCCAAAACACAAGTACAGCTCCGCTCGGGGAGCTCAAGGGGTTGGTGTTTCCTTATGCTAAAGGTGAATTTGGTCCCTTCCCTCTAAAGCTATTTGTAGATACCTAAACATAGAAATACAACAATAAGGTGCTTCAATGACAGAGTTATAAAGAACATATTTCTTCATTATGGAAATAAAAAAATATGGTGACCTTCTAACAGAGACAGCATCCAGAGAAACTGCTCTGTGCTTATTTGACTGAACCAGGCTACCAGCAGCTCACAAGAGTCGTGTGTTAAAAACCTTCCAGAAACTCTAACCTTCTGCAGGCAGAGGAGCTACTTTGAATAAACAGTTTATTTCATCATTTGACCTGTATATTGTGTTAGAAAAGTAAACGTGGGGACATTCTCCAAGTTTGTTTTTTTAAAGCACGTATGTAACGATAAACTATCCAAAAAGGAACTTGAGTTATTGCCATTTAAAATGCACTGAAAAGAAAATATCTCCTGAAATATTTGAAGAATTTCTACTTTATTGACCTTACCCAGAACATTAAAGCAACACAGAATTGTAACAAATGTTGAAGGACCTTAAGGACTATTCATTTTCTAAACTCAGCCTTAAAATAATGGATCACCTTTACAGTTCATTCATCGTTTTGGTTTTGACTGCTGGATATTCTTTCTATGAATTATATCAAGGTTTTTTTTAACTTTTTAAAAGACTTTTAACTGCTTTGCATAAATAATGTTACTATAACATTCAAACCACCTACAAAAATAGGTGTCCTCTCCATGCAAACACCCTCTGGTCATCTGGACAAGGGCAAGTGACCACACACTTGAGCAACCAGTGTTCACTGCGGTGACAATTTATCCTGCTCCAGTGACTCATCTCTGGATTTTCAGTGGTTTTCATGCTCACATGATACAGATGTACAAAAAACATATCCAAGCAAAGGGAAAGAAAAGCTGTAAGGCCACCCACACACCACTGTGGCGATGGTGACTTCTCCACTCACCCTAAGAGCTGGATCCTCAAGCCTCTCCCAGTCCCAGAGCAAGAACAGGGATTGGCACACGAGGGCTCAGGAGGCAACAGTAACTGCAGGGGCCAGTCTCTGACAGGAGAGGGGAACAGCTCAAGTAAACCAAATTTTATGATAATGCAGCTTGAAGTATAAAATAAAATAAATCCAACACTTCCAGTGCACAGACACCATCTAACAGGGAATCACTGAGAACTGAACACACTGAGCTGCTCTGATTCTGTTCATGTCTCAACTTCTGGTGTTGCCATCCCCTCACCTGAAGGATCTGCACGTGCCTTTACCAGCTCATACCAAGCACATACAGCAACATCAGAGATTCCTCTTCCATATTTATGTGGGATTGCCCTGGCTGCTAATGGCTAACAGGAAGTTTATAGGTGATGAGGCTCATGGCCACATTCCACACACAGTGAATTCCAGTCATGTGGACATCTGGGAAACAAATGTAGCAACTCCCCTTGGCATCTATACGTGAGACCCTGTGATAACAGCATGGACAATGTGTTTTCAGCAGGAATGACACCTGGTCCTTCAGAAGCTACACCTGGGGCTGTCCCAAGAGACTCTAAACCTACTCTAAAGGACCGCAGAACAGTCCCATCTCAGCTGTTCCTGTAGCACACCTCCAGTACAGACCAACAAATCCAGGTCTCCAAAATCGGATCATCACATCCTAATCCACCAATGAAGACTTTCCAGAACTCTCTACCTAAATGAGACCACTGCATCTCACGAGCAATGTGAGACCTCTGCTTTGAGACAGCCCTTTGGTTCTACCAAAATGCTGTAAGCGCTGACTGATAGAAGCATCACCTGACAGAAACACCTGCATTCCATCAAATTGATGGATGAAAGAACACTCTTGAAGAATAAAGAGGCCAAAACCTCTCTTGAAACAGGTCTGTTCAAGTGAGAGCTTCAAAGCACGGTGTGAGGAGGAAACCAGTCGCTCTTGCCTTTTGCGCAGAAAAACTCCTAGCAGATGTCTTGTTAGAATTTAGTTTCCACCCCCAGAAGCTTCCTTTTTGGTCTGCTGTTTAGGACCAAATGCATCAAGAATACATACACATTTTTTTCTGGACTTCAGCTATTTATGCCAGGTTTTATTGACTGTTAGAATAGTGCAGATCATACACTACTTCTGGTATCAGCTCTGGATAGTAGCAGGAGTTTTTCCTTTTTTCCTGACTCGAGCAGCAGTGCTTTACTCATACCAATTGCCTGAAAATTACTATCAGAGCAACTATCAAAGAAAGCTAGAATCAGACCTTTCCTAAAAGAGATTGTTGTAGTAGCGGTATAAAACCATATCCTGCATATCCTTCTTATTTAGCAAAGAATGAGAAACGGAAAAATAGGGAAGGAGTGGAAAAAGCAAGGAACAGTGATGCCAGCAAGCATCTAAAGGAAGGAGTTTTTCTTAAAAGTGGCAGTACAGCAATGTGCTGCTGCCATGGCCAGTGTGCTTGGAACTAGTACTCATACAGAGTCATATTGAGGGGTCACTCGCTGGAAGTCTGAACCCCCAGTTAAATATTGTGATAAACAGCAACTCCCATTTAGTTTAGCAAATTTATCTTCAACGGAATAAAGCAAGAGAGAATGACAGGAACTCGGAATGACTACAGCCCACTCCTGTGGAACAGGATGGAACAGGAAACAATGATGGGATATGGTAAGAGAACTTCTCTGTACTACACAGCTTCAACTTGGGAGAACCCCCAGAACGCTTCCCAAGCTCTCCTTGTACACAGAAAAGAAATAATCATTGATGTGATATATGGATGGTGATTAATTGGTGGAAGGAAACCTCTGACAGCCAAGAGCAGCTATGGAGGGTGGGAGTGGGCTGGCTGCTGTGTCACAGTCACTGTTTCATCGACCACTGAGCTTCTCAAGAGATGAGGAGGGAACAGACCATCAGGAGAGGCAAGGTTGGATGCTTTAACAGGAAAAATCCCACCTGCATTCACAGCACCCAAGTGCAAACTCAGCAGGAGGCTGCTTGCTGGGCCAAGGCCTGTCTGGAGGGTTTAGATATGTCCTGGGAATGTCCAGGAACATCAGCAGCTCCCACAGGTCCTCCCTGGAGCTGGGCAGCAGCTCAGCCACATGGGGAGGCTGAGGGAGCCCTCGGGCTGTGCAGATCCCATGGCAAGGAGAGGACAAATGGTGGCAAGCACAAGGCAAGGTCAGCTGGGGATAGAGTGTGACAAGCAGGCAGCACGGACTGGCCTCTGGAGTTTGGAAATGAACTCTGGGGCTGGTAGAGATTCAGGCAAAACAAGGAGACACTGGATTAAAATGCCACAGACCTCATTTCCACACCTGCTCTACTTACATAAACACCAGAGCCAAGTCTCTAGTTGTGCACAGCAGCTCACACACCTGTACAGGTAGGGTCAGCCTTCCCAGTTTCCTACCCAAGCACACCTGAGGCTTACATCAGTCTGTGACACATCATTTCTATGTGACAGATTTATTGTGATGCTTGTTTCAAAACTCTTTTTCTTCTACTCATCTGTCAAAGTAGTAAATTAAAATTCTCTTAAAGAAGAGCTACAGTTCCTTAAAACAACACTCTGAAAGCTGGACACTTTGTGCAATACTTAGCAAAAAAAAGAACAGAAAATAAAAAACAAAACAAAATTTGAGCAAAACAAAATCAAATTTAATGTTCTTAAATGCAAAAGTAAAAACAAACAAAAAACACAAAAAAGCAAAAGAAAATTAACAGAAACAGAACAACTCAAAGTTTCAAGGCAGTCTGCAGAAAACCTGGGGGATTAATCTTTAAATCTACAAATCAAAGGGGTTTTTGGTTAATATCTAACTTGCAAGTTGTAAGTACTTTTCTGCTGAGTGTTCAATAAGTAAAGCTAGTTGTCAAAACAAAATCCTATTAAAATAGAAAAACTAGCACTCATTAGAAGGGATGCGAGAAATACAATGCTCAAATGTTTATAACTGGTTTTTCTTTACAAAATAGAACTGCCAAAGGAATTCCAACTATAATGATCTTGGAAAATTAGTAAGTATCTTGCTGTATTATAATGTACCAGTAAGTAGTGCACCATGCATTAAATATTTGGACAGAAGAGATTCAGTCTGATAAAGTAGCAACATATATTCACACTCGCTTTTTTGGAGTTTCATTTTGACTCTGAAATCTTCCCGGAGTTTCTTTGAAACTCTTTGGTCCATTCCTCTCAAAATGGGCTTTAAAAGTCACCTTTCTAAAACCTGTGAATTGGACAGCTTGGCCACTGCTCAGTGTGCAACTTACCTCCTCAATGGTGTTAAAGTTAGGCTGGCATGCTACTACTTACAAGACCTTGACTTTAAAAAGCCTGATCCTCAACTAGACACAGAATAATGAATATTAATTGATCAAACAATTTACTGTCAACTAAAACATTAGTATTTCTCAACTATTCTTCCATACTACTGAAACTGGGGGGGAAACAAAAGGACAGGGGAATGGGTAGGAAGAACAACATAAAACCAAAGAAAATCAATGAATTCAGCCTGATATTTTTCAGAAAATTCCAGTTTTTGCAGACAACATTCAATGAAACAAATGTTAGTCTCATAAGTGAAAGCATGCTTCAATTTTACCACCATCCAGAGGATCTAGTTAATGCAATCTACTTAAGATTTCAGGGGAGTTTTAACATGTTTTAAATGAAATAACTTAAAGGAACTTAAAATTGGTCTAACATTGTGGGATTTCAAACATTTGAACATGTCAGTTGCATCCCAGAATATAAAACCTTTTCACTTCTCATTTAGACTAAGACAAACACTTGTGAAAATTGGCGCAAAATGAGTTTTACACTAACAAAAATGTTTCAACTTCTGTCACTCCATTATCTACTCCATACAAAAAGCACGAGCAAGTTATTTGTGGGACTTGTTGGTTTTGAAGGAAACCTGTAAGATTTTGTCCCCCAGGCGGTAGCCATTAAGACTTGCTATGGCCATTGCAGCTTCTTCATAGTTTGTCATGGTCACAAAACCAAAACCTTTGCACTTGTTGGTGTTGAAATCTCGAATAACTTTCACATTGGTAACCGCACCAAAGGGGCCAAACATCTGCCAGAGGATTCCCTCATCAGCATCTTGACCAAGGTTGTAGATGAAGATACACCAGCCAGAAGATGCGTTTCCTGGAACATTTACACCAGAAAGCCCACTCATGTGATCTACACCCATAGGAGAGAACCTAGCAAATAAAAAGCACAATATTTCATGTAAAAGTTCAATTCAATTAAGCAAATTAACTTGAATGGGAAGCAACTGAGAATGAATATTTTATACATGGCACATCAAAACCGCCACATAAATGTTTCCCCATTCAAATTGACAATCAAATTGACAGCTGCCAGGAAAAAAAAAAGTTAAATATTCCAACTGCTTTATCAACAGGGAACTATCCTTAGAAATAGGCAAGGAACAAGCAAGGCAAGATTACATGATCACCTTTCCAGGGATCTGGATGGATCTCTGAACTCAGTCAGGCTGCTTAGTGTCCAGGGCATTGCATTGCTGAAGAACTGCTGGAGTTGGGGGCACAGGCAGCACTTCCCCAGAGGCCCCAGACACCCCCAGGCATCTCACACTTACTTCACGGGAGACTTTTTTTCCACCCCATGCTCCTTTTCTTGCCTCTAAGCATGTTAGGAAACTCTTAAGTCAAAGAGTTTCTTTAGGTTTGCTGGGGCAGGGGATTAGTGTGCTAAGTTCTTAGAAGTAGAGACTGTATGTATTAATTTCTTCTTTTGTGAAAAAGAACAAAACCCTTTCCACCCAAAGGCAGCAGGGGCAGGCAAACACTCCCAACATGAGCAGGCTCAGTGCAGTTTTAATATTCCAGTGTGTATGAATGGCTTGATTTATTTTTCCAGGAAAACTTAGATCTGACTTTACTGAACTGGATTTTTTAAATTACCTACCCACTCTTCCTAAATCCTGCCTCTTTCACAATATCTCAGCAGGATTCATGCATAACAAAAAGCAAAAATCATCTTTTTATGTCTTGCTTCGTATTAATTTCTTTTTCCTATAACCCACATTTCTAATTCCCCTTTATTCTATTTCTGGCCTACACTCCAGAAAATCAAAGCTGCTCAGTATTTTAGTGCAATATTAGGGTTGCACAGCTCAGAGGCCAGCAAAAGTGAAAGTTAAGGTCAAAAACTCACTTTGAACCCTTGTGCTTATTTATTATTGAAACATATGAGGTCATGTGATCATAGAAATATAATGATACTATACCAGGGGTTCCCAAATTGAGGTGTACCACTGGTGATTTGCAAACCCCTTAAAAGCGGTACACGAGCTGCTCTCTGCCAAGAGCAGGGCGGTGGCACATCCTGATTCTCTGCTGACCTGGAGGAAACAGGGAAGGGATGTCTGGGCAGTGAATGCTGCAGTAGGTGCCAAATGCTTCCCCCTATGATTCTTTCTTGCCCTGCATGAAGGAGCTGTTGCTGCCTTTCTCGAGGAGAGGGGGCTTAAGGAGGTGTAAGGGGAGGGAAGGGAACAGAGGGGCAGCAGTGCACGCACACACACACACACACACACACACACACATTGTACATTCACACACGAGAACCACTCAGTGCCCAGCTCCCCCAGGCTCTCTGGTGCTCAGAGCTCACTGCCTCGGACACCTGAGCTCCTGGACTCTCTTGTTCCCAGAGCAAGTGTCACTCTACCCTTCCCTTGCTGCTCTGCAGCCCAGGGGCCCCCAGAGCACATTGGGACACTCCCGAGCTGCACCAACCCACTGACAGCCAGCCCCAGGAAAATCCAAGTTTGGGAAGCCTTTTGTTACAGCCAAACTGAAAAAGCAGTTAGAAGTACCACAAGGTGAAGGAGACATACCAACCCGTGTGATCTGATGATGAGGTGACACATCTATTTCTTTTGGCTTTGTATAAATACGTTCCTGTGTTTGCATGCTTGATACACTTACTTGTTCTGACAGACACCTTCAGTTCTGTAGCTTCTTTCCAAGTGAGTAATGATCTGGTAGGATGAATTTATCTTAATATCTGTCAGGTTTTTTCATCTCAACAAATCACCAGTCCTGAGTCCCTGCTCAAACCACTGAGCTCAGAATTGCCTGACGTTGGTTCCAGCAGTCAGTATATCTGTTCTCACTCTGTACAAGAGGGACCTCAGATCTCTCACTCAGCTCAGGGCAACAGCCTGCATGAGCAGGGCCCAGAGCAGCTGACACACAGCTCTCTGTCCTACCAGGACAGATTTTTGTGGCCATGCCAATTTAAGATGACCTTTAGGAAGTGATACTTATTAAGGATGTTTAAAAGAATGTCCTACTAGGGCAAACACTTGGGCCAACAGAGATACAGGATGTTTCAGAGAAAGTGGTTCTAAAATTCCTTTAATATTGTCATTTGAACAATCTCAGTCCTAGCACACTTACAGCTAGTGTCCTCATTTCTGTTGTAATTATTTTTATACTGTCTCCTCCACATTGCTTTTTCAACCCTCACAAAGAATCTGTAGCCAGTATTATTTGTGGATGGTTCTTTCAAGCCATGCTAACCTAATACTCCAACATCTCAGGGCATTAAGTATCAACGATAGTGGATTTTCAATCACAACACTTCTTCACTTTATAAACTTCTCATTTCTGTTAATGACCTTTTGCTCCCTCTGCTGTTAGACAGACAGACTACTTCATTTAACAGATCCTGGGATTAGCTTAACTCACTGGAGAATATAAATCTCAGAAATTACACTCCTAAATGAAAGCAATTTCTCTTTAGGTCTATGCAAGTCCTATAAGTGCTTTTCATAGAGTCACAGAAACTCCTGAGCTGGAAGGGACTCACAAGGATCATAAAGTCCAACCCTTGGCCCTGCACAGACCCCCCAACAATCCCACCCTGAGCATCCCTGAGAGCGCTGTCCAAACGCTCCTGGAGCTCTGGCAGCCTTGGGGCCGGGACCATTCCCTGGGGAGCCTGGGCAGTGCCCAGCACCTTCTGAAGGAAGAAACGTTCCCTGATATCCAACCTAAACATCCCATAACATAGCTTTGTGCTGGTTTTGCGGACCTCTTTTCCCTGCACTCTAAGGACAGTTACACACAACAGCACAGGTGGGATGCCAATAAGCAGGAATATTATTTTTAATATTACCATGTGTTGCCATTGCACTTAAGCTTGGCAGCTTTTTACTTTCTAATAGTTCCAAAGAGCAGGAGTTCAGCTATGCTGATGATGTCCTTCTGACAAGGAATTTTTTCTGCTGTCTCTGTTACAAACAGAAATGATCTGCTGTGGCCAACACAAACCTTGTTGAGAATTCAGTGACACAAGCTCTAAGCTTGCGAAATAAATCAAGGTGTTGGGTCAAACAACCACATAAGGAAGAACAGGAGCAACTGGGGTTTCACTCACATATTCTTCCAGAACTTTGATGAAATACTACTCTGGATGAAATGGTTTCTACTCAATACACACAGTTTGCATCCAAATTACAAATTGGTCTAAAACCGGAAAATTTAAACCATTTCACTGGAGTGAAATCAAGCAGGCATACAGGAGCTGTCTGAACAACCATATCGCTGACAGGGTTAAACAGTCTTCTTGTGTTTCCACTTGGATCAAAGAACTATCAGAAGTGGCTCGCTCCCCTTCTGGCATTCAGGGCAGAACTCATGGGCTGATACTGGTAGAGTTACGCCCATTACACGAACTGTCTCCCTGAACAGCCTGAAACAAGTCTGAAAGCAAAATCAGCTGAACTGGTAATAACTGAGATTTGAAAGGATGTTGTTCTATTATAAAGCTCTGACAAGCTGCAAAAGCACAGGACTTCCAGGGGCTCTAGGCAGTCTCCTCATGCTTCAGGAGCTAAACACCTCCATTTCATCAGATCAGCACCTGGAGATCTGCTATTCTCTCTAAGCAAACAGATCTTACACTCTAAAGAAACCCCTGCCCCAGATGTTTTATCTGTCCTCCAGACACAACCCCATTCTGTGGCATCACTCCCTCTGGAAGAAAGCAGAGAGCCTGGGTCTTTGAATTAGCCCAGGATCCAGTAAGAGACAGCACTAAGACCAGATCCTGATGTGAGCCACGAATACCACAGGAACTCGAAAGGATTAAAAGAACTTTAAACAAAGGGTTGGAGAAATATCTGTAGGAAACTAATAATTACAAATTAGATACTAAAGGCTTAATCCTGGATTTACAGGGATTATGATGAAACAAGATGAAATGTAATCAAAATATCAGGTTAAGTATTCAACCCCTGTGGAGCAGAGATCACAACTTTAATTTATACAGACTGTGGGCTCTGTGGAAGCTGCTTATCCATTCATCATGTCTTGTTCACTACCAAAGCAAACAAGACTCCAGCCCAAACTCAGGTTCCTGAGTTTAACCACAGCATGAATAATCACAACTCCTTCAGTTCAGCATCCTTCAAGGAAGATAGACTCACTAGAAAAACTTGCAGCTAACACTAAAGGTGGGAAGAAAAATACAAAGGACTGTGGGACAGACTTGATGTTGGAGGTCTTTTCCAACTTTTATCATTCCATGACTCCATGGTGTAAGCATTGTGTACAGATGTGCCTGCATGAGTGATTGAGGGAAGGAAGCTTTGTAGGAAGTGCTGGAGTTCTCACAAGGCTGTGACAAGGCAGAGATGAAGAGCTCGTGTCTGCAAGTCAACTGATGGTTCTTGTGTCCACAGCATCTTCCTGAAAGCATGTTCTGACCCACAACTGCTCTCTTCCAACCTCTGCCAGGCTGTGGGACCTCAAAATCTTCAGCTCTTTCCCCAGTAGCAGGCCTGTCACTCACTGGGAGCAGCAGCCAGCCAAAGTGTGCTGACAAACAAGCACTGGGCACAGACATCCAGCAAGACACAGCTCCCATGGCAGCAGGAATGGAAAAGAGACAGAACATTTCCTTCATCTTAACCCCCACTGTGACATCCCAAGCCTACAGAAACACTGGGTATGGCAGCCCCATCCCTGAAAGTGTTCCAGGCCAGGTAGCACAGGGCTTGGAGCACCCTGGGATAGTGGAAGGTGTCCTTGCCACGGCAGGGGTAGGATGAAATGAGCTTTAAGGTCCCTTCCCAACCGAAACCAGTCTGCGATTCTGCGAAATGTTCACAATTTACATTAATACTGCTCTAAATGGTACAGTAAAAGAAAAATTAACAAACTGGTTATTTAGTTTCACCACAAGCTTTGACATACATACATCAATAATTTTTATTGTTCCTGAGTGATCATTACAGGACTGAATTAAAGGTATTTGGTCTCCTAATTATAGATGTAAATTTCATTTGCAGTGCTTATTCTGATGCGATTTGACCCTGGTATAAATTTTAGGGGGAAGAACAATGATGAAAATGTCCAAATAAATTAAGAAAGTTAAGAATGAAAAAATGAGCCGTAAGTCTCGAGATTTTACTAGAACCAGGACACACTGAAGCCCTGTCTGAGACAAAGGGCAGGTGTGTTAATTTTTTAATAATTCACCTAAATGCAAACAGTGCAGAGTTTCATTCCTCAGCATGGCTCAGAAGGTTTGGGTGTAGATCTGGGTGACTGCTCCAGGGAGACAAGGAGCTGCCTGAGCTAAACTTCCCTGGGCTACAGCTGAAGAGAACTGGGCTGGCAGGGACCTCTAGAAATCCTCTAATAAAGCCCCATGTTCAAAGCAGCGTACTTGGAGCAGGTTGCTTAAGCTCATCCTGTCACAGAAACTCACCAAGAATCAGTCAAATAAAACTCCTTAGCACAGTGTAGCATTCAGAAAGAAGGGCATTCATTACAGGCCTGGTTGCACAGAGGATAACTCCAACCCCACCTTGCATGCACGTGATCCTCTACAAGTGTGTTGTTTATATACAGTCATCACGTGCATATTTTGCTCATTACCATAAAGCTTTCCCCAGGTTCCCAGGTTCAGTCCTTGTTTTGGCTGTGGCTGCATTCCCAAGCCAGATGTCTCTCCCTTATCTTCCAACCATCCTTGCTGAGAAACCAGATCCTGCATACCCTGTTTCCTGCTAAAACTACAAAAGCACAGTAGAAATTAGATTAACCCTTTTGCTATCAATTCTAGCCAAGTTTCAGTATCTTCAAGGACAAAAATTCCACTGTCTCCTTGGGCAAATTGTTCAATCACTTTCAGTATAAAACCACAGCTGACTACAAAGTACAAATTTTCTCTGGAGAGCCATTACACAGAGCTGTGCTCAAAATGCTGAGCTACAGCACTGTGGACAGGAGACAGCAAGACAGCAATACTGGAACAGCAGCACAGCTAAAAGGTGGCTGAGATTTGAGTCCAATTATATTCATCTCATTGGATCCCTCACAGGAGAAAAAGAAAAAAATAAGAGTAAATTCTCAACAGGGAACCACTACTCAAGAACATGTATCATCTCAAAGCCCATTGCCTCTCTGCAAAGACAGTCAATACACTGCATTTTCCAGAGCAGAGCACCCTCCAACCATCAGCTTCCTCCATGAACACCCAAGGTTTTCCAATTCAAGCAATTCATATTCAAAGCAACCAAAGCAATTTTCTGTGGCAAAGCACAGAGTCTTCCATAGCCCTGGAAGCAGATAGGATGCTGCACTTACTCAATATAATGAGGCCTCAAGGGAAGGCAGAACCCTGCACAGACTGCAGGGCAGGCAGGAATCCCACAGAACCTCCTCATCAGAAATAAGGTTTTCCTCTCTTACTGTAACACCTCCCTGCTGGAACCAACCATTCAGAGCTTTAATTAAGTTGCCAAATTCTATCTGTGTTCAGATATATAGACCACAGAATGGGGATCTGTTGAGACAGGCACCTACCAACACCCACCTGGAACCTGCTGCTGTTGTCTCCTCACTGTAACCCAGTAGTGGAAACAGACACCAGAGTGCAGGTACCTTTACATACTAACTTCAGTATAAATTTTACAAGTAAGATTTTTCTTTAATCACATTTTAATGCAACAGTTTCTTTACATACCACTGAGGACACACAGTGCACTATGTATTCATTCACACATGAAGGTATCACTGCCCAGCTGCAGGGGCACAGCTCCCCAGACAGACACAGGAACAGCAGCACAGCCTTAAATGCATTTATTCTTCCTAACCTACCTGAATCTCTGCGCCTGGTGATGCACTGGCCCTCCAAACCGTCTAGCTGGTGAATGACACAGCTGCGACAACAGTGCCACATTTTTGTTCTGGTTAGGGTTGGCTGCAAACTTCACTGTAATGGGCTCGGAGGAACCTGGGGGTTTGTGACCATTGAAATTTGTAATTGCCTCTTCTGCTTCTGACCTTTTGTCAAACCGGATAAATGCGACCCCTCTGGACAAACCTTGTAACCAAACCAATAAAAAAAACAAAGAAAAACAAAACAAACAAATAAACAAAAAAATTGAAGTTCAGGATAAACTCAAAATAACTTTGAAAACAAAACCCAAAAAAGTTCAGTATTTCTATGGTCACAGCTTTCAAGTTTTCTAAATTTACATTTCTTCATCAGCTGGAGGATAAAGTACAAAATTAAGAAACCAATGACAAATTAGCATACACATTTCAGCTATAACAACCACAGTGACTGAACACTTAAAAAATACATGGCAGAATGCCACAATATTCATCATCAACTGACATTTCCATTCACAAAAAACTACTCAACATTTTAAATTAAGTAAAAAAAAATTAATTCCTGTTGGTTAAGAACAAACCCAAACTTCCTGTTTTCCATTACTTTATCACTAAAGAGCATCCACAAACACAGAATTGATACACTTTTGCAAATGTTTTCATTTTCCCATGCTAGAAACACACTCAGATTCAGAGATGAGGGAACAAATGTCTGTCTATAATAAAGGACTTTCACTTTTTTTAATGCAGAGATCACAGTTTCACCTGCACCACATACTTTATTTCTAGCTGGCACATAGATTATTTTTATTCATTAAAATCAATGAAGAATTACTTCTTGGTAACTTGGCACTGAACCAGTATCACAGCTGTTAAAATTTTGTGTATTTTTTTCCTAGTCCCAGCCCCTGAATGCTGCTATCCTCCTGAATGAGGCACAAGTTCTGCCTTGTGGGCTCTCCTCTCCTCCCCCTGCTTATCTGTGACTTAACCTTAGGCTGAAAACACAGATTACCACAGTGAAGCTAAAAAGGGCACATTTTGCTTAAAAAGCAGGTATTGTGACCAGACTAAATGTAGGACTTCATTAGCTCTGTTTCAGAAGGTGACATATCAGACACTTTCATGTTTTCTTCACATCCATGCAGGACCATCTTCAAAGCCAGATACAGAAGTTAAGCTTATCATAAATCACAAGGTTGTTGGCAACAGTTGAGGATCATTTTCTCAGTTTCACAGAAGGAAATGCAACATATCAAAACCTGGGCCTGCAGCAATCAAGGTATGTTTGCATTTTGATAAATAACAACAGATGGGCTCACCAGAGTAGAGCTCACAGCACTGTATGCTCAGGTACCACTGAGATCAGCTCCCATGCCAGGGGGAAGGCTATGTCACACCCTGGAGAGGGCAGAGTAGCAGCATCACTCAGAACTCAGCGAGGCCTATCCTAGAGCTCAGCTTACTGTGACTCCTCCATTTTCATGCTTGCTCATCCTAGTGCTTCTCAATGCACTCATTTAAAACATAAATATTGTAGAAAGCGTATTTTTAAACAGACAATTTTCAAAAGCTGGAGTACCAGCTCTGTGAGAAGGTACAGCTAAGTACAAATTAAAATGTGTCTTAAGTGGGAGCAGATTACCATATGAAGGGCAGGCTTAAAGCCAAGGCACAGCTACATTCCTGGTGGGATGGCAAGGCCAGGCTCTGCAGGCATTAACTGTGAGATGTAACAGAACCCACTCTTGAGTCAATGCATTATTAAGGCTATCAGCAAGCAGGCAGTGCGCTCTGAGCTGAATTACACAGCATCAGGCCTCAGCACACCCATTAAAACTGTATTATTCTTGGGGAGGTTTTATTTGTATGACTTCTGTCATCTCATTTTACAGCTCTGTCAAATCCAGATACTCTCCAAACCCCAGGGACTGCCAGACAGGGATGACTAATTTGGACACTCGCATTAATAAGTTTGCTGTGCTCTGCAAATTTTTTTCTTGCTTTTCATTACAGCTGTGTCCTAGATAACCAGCTCTAGAGACAGGAGCATCCAGGTATCAGAGTTGGGCAAAACAAATAATTTTCTCCAGGAAAGGCAGGATGGGATTTTCCTCACTCAGCCATGGATTGTCTGCCATGTCAGTCCCCAGATGTCACCAAGTCACCTCAGGTTTCTCTGATGCACAGTCATGTCTGCAGCACGATCTGACCAAACCCCTGCAGGTGGTGCCTGCACCCCGAGCTGGCTCTGATGGGGACACAGCCCTGCACACTTCAGCCTGCACTCACACTGAGCCCACCAGGAGCTGCTGGTGGCCCACTCCGAACTACAGCAGATTCCTCACAGAGCAGGAAAGCTGCTTCTGAACTGATGTGTATAAATGTACATCCCAGTTATAAATGTTAAATGTGGAATTGCTAGATTTAAGATTGTCTTCTATTCCAATGCAGCAGATGCACATTCAATGAAAAACCGTATGTGTAAAACCTATCTCCAGATTAATACATGACATAGGGGCTACCAGTAAAACCACAGAACACCTAGATGACAGGATAAGCCAGACAGTCACACTGTCTGAAATAACGGGCTAAGAAATTAAAACTCTGAAAACACACTGTAACACAGAATCAGAATTACCATTATTAAAAAACCCTTAACTTTAGTCTCTCCTGAGCCAAGTGTATAACTCAGTAACTTCTCCCATTCCTCTCTCTTTTTCTTCTTTTTAATTACACAAAATATATTCAGAACTTTCAGGGCAGTACTAAGTGTATGAAATCAATTCCTTTGCTTAGCAGTAACCACAGAGGCCTGTAAGACATCTCAAATGGTTTAAAATAAAAGAAAATTGAGTGAATGAGTTTCATATGATCTGAGGTTTGGGCTGTAAGCTGGCAAAAAGGCAGTGAGAATAATTCTGTGTTAAAAAAAAAAAATCACTGAATCATGGATATCCTGCTGAAATTCTATCACTGGTTGAAACCAGATGTCATGATTAGCTGGTGGAAGTCAAATTTACTTAAGTTTAGGTACTGCCAGTCTCAGAAAACACCAAACACAGGTGTACACTGCAGTTTTCTGCAGCCAAGGCCCCAGAACTTACCTGTGGTTTGATCCACAAGCACACGGGAGTTGATGATGCGCCCAAAACGGGAAAACATATCTTCTACATCCTTCTGTGTCATTGACCTGGGCAGGCCACTGATATATAAATTAGCATCCTTGATAACTTCAGAACTTGGGCGAGCATAGGAAACCTGCAAAAGAAATAAAAACACACGTTCAGGGTATTAACAGGGACAATCAATTTATTGTCATGAGCCAATTTAATTAACTCCCCCTCATTATCAACACATGCATTTTTACTGGCGTTCAAAAAAATTGAACCAGGAGAGAATAGGGGAAAATCAACCAAACAACAGGAGAAAGAGCATGTCTCTACATAACTCCATTCATTTTGGGCTTACTCAACAGACAACAACTATATCAGCATTGTTGTAAGGAGACAGCAGCAGACCAATTCCACTACTCCCAGCAAACACTTCTGCCACATAAAGAATCCTGAGTTCTGACTCAGCCACTGGACCTGTCACAGCTCACATCAGGAACTTGTACTGCCAATGTATTTTCTAAAGCTTCATAAAAAGATGGCATGAGTAGAGTGCAGTTTTCTGTCTTAATTTCTGCTACTGGAGAACACTACATAGATCACCTAAGCAGGAGTGAATCCTACACAGGTTAATTCTTTTGGATAAGAAAAGGAGTGCATGTGTATTAACAAGATTTACAACAAATATTATGAAGCAAGATGTGCATGAGTTAAAAAGCCTGGCAATCATCTCTAATGGTCCCTCAACTGCTGTAAAAATGGTGGGAATACAAAGAAAGGGAATCTTCAAATACTAAGCTGTTTCAAAACACTTCACTACTCCCAGATTCATACTTACTGCAGCTGGGAGCACACAAACTTAACTATAATAAAGTTCATTACAATGCTGTTGTCACAGAAGACTGAAGAGCTCCTACCTTGATAGTTTTCGACTGAAGTCTGAGGCCATTCAGTGTGTTTATTGCTCTTTCAGCATCTTTTGCAGTTACGTAATTCACGAAGCCATAGCCTAAGCTGTGTCCTAAAGGGAAAAACATTTTTTAAAATTAATCCTAAACAAAAGAGTGTTATCACTACTAAAATGAAAGGAAATGCAAACAAGGAGTGAACTTAACATAATCCACACAGCAAATATTTCAGCAAGCCAAGGAGGTTTCCCAAGTCTGGCATAGATCATGAGTAATTCGGAGCTCTTTTATTTCCACTCTGGACATCCTTCTGTCTTCATAGACAGCAGGCACTGGACTAAGGTATTTTAGGAAAGACTGTTTAGATTAGTCCCACCTCAGGCAAAGACAAACCCATCCGTGAAATTGTCTTTGCTCAAGGACCTGATTACACTTGGTGGGTAATGCAGAAACCCTTGTGTACCACAGGGAAACCCAATCTTAAGTGAGAACTGTGCGTAAGGTTTCATTGCAGAGTTTAATGAGGGTATTGATTTGGGTATGATGCAGATGGTAATAGAATAAGGGGTGGATAATGTCTCGGGTTAGTATCAAAAGTATTCTATCACCATCTGTTAAAACCAAGTGGGGCAGTGTTCTTTATGTTTTCCACAATCCATCTTTCCTCCAGGAGATCTCTCCTGTTCATGGGCCATGCAGTCCCAGGGCAGGGCTGATAAAATTCCATCATCCCATTGGGAGATGCTCCACCCAGGGGAGGAGCCAAGCATTTCCTAGCCAGATAAAATCTGAGATTGGAACAGCAGAGCAGCCTTTTCCCACTGGATCCCAGAGGAAAACCAGAGCTTTCCCCATCATCCCTGGAGCTTTGGAGGAAAATTGCACCTTGTGCAGGAGCCCTGCTCCAGCAGAACCACATCTGTCACTGCAGGAGGATGCAGCCACCATGGAATGGGACTGCACCAAGCCCTGACTGACTGACGGGGGCAGCTTGGATTCTCACTCTGTCAGTGTTTCGCTGTTTTGTATTACTGTATTTATATTTAAATTTTCCTAGTAAAGAACTGTTATTCCTATTCCCATATCTTTGCCTGAGAGCTCCTTAATTTCAAAATTATAATAAGTTGGAGGGAGGGGGGTTACATTTTCCATTTTAAGAGGGGCTCCTGCCTTCCTTAGAGGACAGCTGTCTTTCAAACCAAGACAAGCACCCATCAACAACAAGAAATTTAGGATTAAAACACCAACTCTGACCAGTCTTGCAAACTTCCTGGGTGTGAGACAAAGGCAGTCACTTAACCAAGTTCATCAGTACAAAGTCTTGTGGATAGAGAACAGAAAAGTGAGAAAATGTCAACAGATGAACTGTCAGGTATCAAATCAAGAACCTGGTAATTTCTCTGGCTATTCCAACCCCCACCTCTGGGGACAAGAGGGAAAAAGAAGTTTCTAATCCTTCATTAATAAAGCTAACAAGCAGCCAGTTTCCCAAACACAGCATCATAGTGAAGAGTGAAAAATTCCCTTTAAGGCAGACAATTCATGAACACTTTATTTAAGCTGACTCTTAACTCCTACCAGAAGAATTAGATATTAATAATAAAAATCCTTAAAATATTTAAGGAAAAGGATTTTTATTTGGATACTTATTCTGCTTCTATCTCCACAATTGCTACCATCCATTAGAACATTACATACTAAGATCAGTTCGGGTGGCAATTTCCCAACAATTACAGGTTCTTATCAGTGTAGGCCTAAAAATAACTAAAATACTTTCAAGACAGTCTCAGAGCAATAAAACAACTGCAATTCAACCCAAGACACACCTTTTTCAGCCTTGTCTCTGTCAGATGTGTGGGATTTTCTAGAGAATTGTAAGCATGCATAGGGAAAAGCGCTATTTTCCTCTAAAAACGTACTACTTTTAAGTTATTAAATTCTATTGTTAGGCTTAAGGACGCTAGAAGACCAAGCTAATTGCAATGGTAAAGGATTCTGTGGTGAAATAGCCCTTTTTAAATCAAACTGCTTGGCTCTGCAATGATCTTAGCTGACAAGAAAGTTTCCTTATGCTTTCCAGACATTTTAGAACACCAAATACAGATACAGGTGTCAAATGATGATATCCCAGCACAAATGTCAGAGGAAATGAAGAAAAGGCCTACAATAGAACTGTAGATTAGCTTCAGATACTGAAAAAAAGGATACCCAGTCTGCTGAGACATTGAGATTGCAAGCATAAAATCCACATGGGAATGGAAGGAAACCCCAAATAACCCTCAGTGTTTTCATGCCAACGGACTGACTGCAGAACTGTGCCAGCTCCTGGCACAACCTCTGCCTTTGGCTGCTTCCTTGTGAAACCTAATCCAGCAGTAACTCAGCTGAACCCACACAATGTCAGAGCCTGTTGTCTAATACACCCTTTGTATAAACACTCTCAGGTAATTCCTGCTGTCTGCTAAAACTCTTAAGAGAAGCCAGATCCTCTGCATTCAGGTCTCACACAGAACCATAACATCCTGTTCCCTCAGACACCTGGGGTTAAATTAGCAGCTCCAAACAGCCTCTTATGACACCAGACACGGAACACAACTAACACCAAACCACTCTGTGCAAGGATTTAACTCCATCCTTTGGAGACCGAAAGAGAACATCTATAAAATTCTGATCAATGTTTCTAATGTACCCACAGCATGGTTTTTGTGATTTCTTTATAAGATTCATTTTGTTTTATTAGTCAAAGATGGTCAGTCATTTAGATCAAATATGGTTGGTTCACACGCACTTACCTACTGAGATTATTTACCTCTGATTAAGAAAATGAGTAACTGAACAATCAGAAAAACGTTGAGCACCTGGACCCTACCTTATTTCTCCAGACTAAGAAAACAAAAGTATGTTTAAGAGGAAAAAATAATAGGTGGACAGTTGGCAAGAATGGGAAGGATCCACCATCCCTCCCAGGTCCAGCTCTGCCCTGAAGACTCAGAGCAACAGCGGCTTTATGGATATTTTCAGTCTGTCCCAAAAGCCATATAAACATGAATATTCTAGCAAACTACAAAACAGAACCAGGTTCTAATAAAACTTATGAAAATGGGCCCTTAAAGGCCAGGGAAATATACTCCAAACAAGACAAATCCCTCCAAGTGTGACCCACAATGAGCCCTGGCAGTCAGGACTGTCACTTCCTGGATGGATACTGCACTGGGGAGGACTGGGGGACTATTCTGTTCAGAGGTGAAGAAGAGCAAGATTCCACTCACATAAATTTACCACGCTGGCTTCAATACACTGAGTATCCTTCCCTTGCAACAAGTAACCAGAGAACACAGCAGGCACAAAACTGTAAATTATGGAATGGTTTGGGTTTGGAAGGAACTTAGACACAATTTCATTCCATTACCTGCCATGGCAGGGACACTTTCCACTATTCCAGGTTGTTCCAAGCCCCAGTGTCCAAGCTGGCCTTGGACACTGCCAGGGATCCAGGGACAGCCACAGCTACTCTGGGCACCCTGTGCCAGGACCTCCCCAACTCACATGGAACAATTTCTTCCCAATGTCCCATCCAGCCCTGCCCTTTGGCAGTGGAAGCCATTCCCTGTGTCCTGTCCCTCCATTCCTTGTCCCCAGTCCCTCTCCAGGGGACTGGCCCTGCAAGGGGCTCTGAGCTCTACCTGGAGTCTCCTCTTCTCCAGGTGAACACCCCCAGCTCTCCCAGCCTGGCTCCAGAGCAGAGGGGCTCCAGCTTTCAGGTTCTTTCCATGGCCTTCCCTGGAGTCACTCCAGCACGTCCATGTCTTTCTTGTGTTGGGGTCTCCAGGGCTGGAGACAGCTCTGCAGATGGGGCCTCACCAGAGTGGAGTAGAGGGACAGAATCGCCCTCTCCCCTGCTGCCCGCACTCCTTTCTTTCCTTCCAAAATATCACACAGGTTATGGGTTTATTCACCATTTGAGATCGGTGACAAGGAATTTTAAGTTACTTAATATACAAGATAAAACCAAACCTAAGTTGTAGCACTCATGGACATGCAGGAGTAAAAGGTACCACGTGACCTGGGTCCAGTCCCTAACACACACAGACGCCCACATTAAAAGCAGCTCTGATTTTCCTCCCAGGCACTCTGACTGAAAGCACATTCCTCAGCCTCCAGCCAACACTCTCCTTTTACAAACTGAGGTGCACATATTCTGTGTCCACTTATTCCTGTACAAGTCCTACCCTGGACCTTACACAGCTTCTCCTTCCAAGTATCCCCAAAGTACTTTCATACAGTCACTGTATCCTTCTGGCCTTCTTTACTGTTTCTGTCAGAGTAAATAAAATTCAGCATCTTTTTCACTTCCAGTTTTATACATGTTCCTCAATGACTATTCCTTATCCAACAGTCTGAACTGGAAATGAGGGGACAGGGATGTAACACGGTTTACTCAAACAGACATTTGATTTAAAAAAGAAGGCTCTGAAAGTGGCAGGATCACAAAGTTTCATTCTCATATTCCCTCTACACATTTGCAACTAAGTTTGTACTGAATTACAGTCCTATTAACTTTTACCTGACAATAGGTAAGAAACTATCAATTACTTGTATTTCTCTACAGTAACCTAGAATGTAGATCATCCCTCTTAGTCTGTACTTACCACCTTTAAACTACAGTAGTATAAAATGACCTTATAGTCCTTAAGTGCTAGAAAAACCCAACCCATTCAAAACTGACAGCATATATTAACTTATCTTGCTCTAAAACACCCCATACCATCAGCCTCAGCCATCTCCCCCCCAAGAAGTGCCCAGTGTTCATTTCTACAGAGGCTGGGCCAACACACAACAGCCCTGTCACTGCAAGAGATATTTCCATCTCACAGATGCCTGTGCAGGGATGGTCTTTGCTTCGTAATTTTACTCCAAAACAGTACAATCTACCTATCTGCTAAGGATGCCAGAAAATATATAAGGAAATGGCATTTACACATCATTATGACTGCTGTCAAGTGTTTACCCCAGGCAAGAAGAGATTTTTTGCTTTCTCCTGATATTCCCACTCTGCTATAGAACCCTGCAGCACGAAGGAAATTGGTACTGCAACAGTTTTGAAAACATTTTA